ACAACAAAAAATTTTTCAGAACGTTTATCTCAATTATTAATATTTCAATTGAACATTTCAAATGATTATTTCGAGACATCTCGCGATTATAAAAAATGTCTCGATTACTAATATTTCAATTATTAAAATCATTCGATTACTTTACTCATAACTTATGAGTTCAGTAATCGAATTTTGAAATGTTTTGAATTATTATCTGGTAATTGATTTAGTACATTTTAAATCTGAAAAATAGTTCACATATGACATTACAATTTTCAATGTAGTACATATTTATGGTTATATGTATTTATTAGTTACATACCTATGTACTTTAGTCCTGAACAGGCTAAACTTCTGAGTTCTGATTCTCTCGCTGGTTGTGAACTTATAAAAGATCAATAAGGTGTGAAATGTAAAATTTTAAAATTTTAATTATGATAGTTAGCCGGCTATAACTACCTTATCTGATGTTTTTATTTTTTAATTTGTGATAGTTTTGTTTTTAGTCATTTCTACATTCTAACTCGGTTGTATAAATAAATACAGACATGTGACAATGCGATGTATGTTTATAAATGAAACAATATACGTTTATTATTTTTATCAAAAATACTTTTATTCATAGGCACGTTATAAATAAATTCTGCTACCGCAAATCACCATTTTACTGTTTATTATTAGAAGGGACATGTTGACGATTTTTGATTGGATTTTTCCAAATATAATTGTTTAACAATCTTGCAAACCAAAGCCATAAACAGTATTTTAGCAGTTAACAGTTGACAATTGTATATTTTGTTATTTTTCGATAATTTCAAAAGTATTAAATTTCAGAAGTATTTTCTTAATTTATTTAAATATGAGACCGAGCTGTAAACAACGTTCCGTTGTATGGGATCATTTTGAAAAACATACTAATAATAGAACTGTTTAGGGTCAAATATGTAAAAAGAATTATAAATATTACGGAAACACGACAAACTTAAAAGGTAGGTACTTAAAAATTATAATTTTTTAATAAGGGTTTTGAGAACTTTTAAATTAGGTACACGGAATTATCTATTTGTTTATCCTTTCTCTTTGAAATTATTTGAAACAGCTTAGTTTATTAATTTAAATTTTAAATAACTGCATTTCACATATTTTATAGAAATGCCTTTCCACGTTCCGTGCGTTTTCTTGAAAATAATACTATTATTTATTATATGTATTTTATAATATTAAGCTATAATAAATACTAATTTCACAATTTTTGTATCTTTTTAAATTTATAATAGAACATTTAAAAAGAATACACTCAACTAAACTCAATCCGATCACTCATAATGAAGATGATCCAGATAACCAATTAATACAGACTACCGAAAATACATTTAATCCCTCAACTTCAGCAATTTCTTCTAATTTATCATCTGAACATTTAATTTCGTCACAATTTTCTGAGCCACCATCAAAACGGCCTCGTCAACTAAAACTTTTTGGTTCGACAAAAGTAAATGAACTTAGTGATTCTGAAATTAAGGCTATTAATAAATCTTTAATTAAAATGATTGTCGCGGATTATCAACCACTCTCGTTAGTAGAAAACGTTGGATTTATTGAGTATAGCAAAAAATTGCAACCACTTTATTCGATCCCTAGTAGAAAAGTATTAACTTCGAAATTATTACCACAAGAATATAATGTTATACTCCTTAAAATAAAATCTATTCTTCAAAATGTAAATGATTTATCAATAACGACAGATATATGGACATCTGATTCCAATAAATCATATATAACAGTGACGTGCCATTTTATTTTTGACGATATTCACCAGTAATTGCAACTAAAGACGTTTTTGACAGACACACTGGTCAAAATATAACCGTTACACTTACAAATATTTTTAATGAATGGAATATAGCAAATAAAATAATAACTGTGGTATCAGACAATGGGTCAAATATTAAAAATGCAATAAACGAACACCTTCTTAAACACTATCACCCATGTGTGGCACACACACTAAACTTAAGTATAAATGAGGCAATAAATGGAAACTCTGATATAAATCAAATTTTAAAAAAATGTAGAACGATAGTAGGGCATTTCAAGCACAGCAGCAACGCCACTGAAAAACTCAAAGATTTTCAATTGCAAATGAACTTACCTCCATTAAAAGTTAAACAATATGTGGCTACAAGGTGGAATTCTAGTTTTATAATGATGGAAAGACTTGTAAACATTAAAGCTCCTTTATCTGCTACTATGTCAACTCTACCTCGGGCTTCAAATTATTTAAATGCGTCCGAGCGGGAGATAGTATTAGATTGTACTCATATTCTAAAGCCATTTCAAATAATGACAGCGGAATTATCAAGTGAAAAGTACCCTACATTAAGTGTCGTTATACCACTTATTAGAGGTCTTCAACATATTTTAAGAAACTTGAAAACAAAAACTGATATTGGGGAAGTATTTAGAAATATGTTGATGGATATAGTCAGTAGACGATTGGGCATTTTAGAAAAAAATAAAATTGTTGCAAAAGCAACTTTCTTAGACCCACGATCTAAAAAAACTGCGTTTGGTTTACTTGAAAATGCTAATTATGCGCAAAAATGGGTAAGCGAAGAATTAACAATAATGATCAGCACAAATACTGAAATGGAAAACGAAATTAATACTGAATCTACCACAGCACTTACGTTAAATAGTACTAATAATACAATTGAATCACTATGGGAGCATTTTGATAATAAAGTTGCTCAAGTCAAAAGTACATTAAGTCCAAGTATAACTTCTAATTTCATTATATGTCAATATCTAGAAATGACACTTTTAGACCGTAAAAAAAATCCATTGGAATTTTGGAAACAGTATAAAAACAAAATTTCCAGATTTGTATAATATGCAGCTGAAGTATTTGTGTATTCCAGCAACATCTGTTCCGTCTGAACGGGTGTTTTCAAAAACAGGACTGATCACCAATGATCATAGAAATCGGCTATCACCAAAAAATTTAGATTTAATTATATTTTTAAATAGTAATTTAAATTTGTTTTAAATTTTTTTGTTCATTTATACATTTTATCTAGTTTTGTTCATAAAATATTAATTATTTATATACTTATTATTACGAGCTGTTATAAAGTTATTTTATTAGTTTACTATTATTTTTAATTTGGAGGATATTTAATAAATTTTATTAAAAACTTAAAATGCATTGTCAATATTTGCTGGATTTGGTAGCTATACACATTTATAATATATTTATAACGTTTCATTTCAAATATATAAAAAAAGTACAATAGTTTTTTCATAATTAAGAATTTACAGTATTTTAAACCAACAGATTTATTTAAAATTTAAATAATAATTATTAAATAAAAAATAAAAACTTGTCTTTTATTTAAAGCACCTATTAATAATGCATTATTAATATATCATGGTTATTATTATTCCTAAATTATAGTGTAATTTTTAATTAATATTATACTAACAAATAAAAAAAGCAACATTTAACCAATAATTATTTACTATAAGTTTATTCAAATTTCGAGTAATTTTTCGATTATCTCGATAAGTAATATTAGTTGATTATTCTTATCAATGATAATATTAGTAATCGAGACATTTTTATAATCGAGAGATGTCTCGAAATAATCATTCGAAATATTAATAATCGAGATACGAGAATCTTGTTATCATACGAAAAATTTCGAGTAATTTTTCGAGAGATTCTCTCGATTATGAAAATGTCTCGATTACTAATTATTCGATTATAAAGATCATTCGATTATGCCCATCACTAGTGTCTCTTCAACTGGCGACCTTATTGTATCAACAGAACCAGTATTGAAAATAACAAAAAAAAACTATCTAATTAAATATTTATAATTCGCCGATATGATGTGCAGTGCAATTCGTCGTGCAACAGCCAGAAGGAGCAACGGGGTGAGTGCACACACGAACGTCGTCCGTCGACCAAATTGACGATGTAGCGACACAGATAAGACCTCGCACGCGCAACAGAGAATCGGAAAAATAATTGGGGCCTCCCGTGTGTATAGATTAAAATACACATATAATATTACCATTTTGTCACGTTACAAGTCATTTTTGAAATATATAGTATTATAATGTAAGAAAAAAATATTATACTTTTATAGTTTTATTTCTGGCCAAATTTTAGATGCAGAGTTTAAAATGCTTTTTTCAAAATCAAAATATATTTCAACGAATAAAACTCAAAGTTTAAATTTGAACATATACGCTTAATATTTTCGAATATATATTCATAGACTTCACTACATTTTGATTGTAACAAACAAAACACCAGAGGTATGTAATGATTATTATAAAACCTATGAATTGTAAAAAGTTGACAAAAAATTGTGTGCAATAAGTAAATGTACCATCGACGTATATAGTATTAAATAAACTGTCGCGTACTGCGTAGTCACATAATATAAAACACACATTATAAGAGGTTCTCATGAACATCGAAACTGGGCGTGTGAATAAGTTAAATTGTTCACATGGTTATCTGTTTAAATAAGAATATGAATATCGGAGTCACATATACGTGGGTGGTTGACCACATCCTGGATCTTGTAATAAGTATGGGCCGGTCAAGAGATAGTACACGCATGCAGAATCAATAGAGAATTATCATATTTTAGAGCGCACACACCGAATCAATAACGACTCATCACATTTATCATATTTTATTATCTTATTTCATTTACACACACACACTTGGGATTTTACGCACACACATACAATATCACATATAAAAGGGACCCGAAAACAAGGGCAAATCAGACGAGTCTTGTCTATGCTGCACTGAGCACCTTCACGTCAGTGTATGTTATGGTCTGGACTTAGAAATATTTCCAATTATTTTATAAGTTTAATTGTTAGGACTTAAATAATTTCTATCACTAGAATATTTACAAAATTTGTAGTTAGAATAATTTTTATAAATTAAATAAATTTAATTATTTTAAAAAAAAGTCTTAATTATTCCTGACTACACTTCCACACAAGCGTTGACTGAGACGTTGTAACTGAATTAACGGATCAAACGGTTGGCACGTAACAAAAATTGGCGCAGTCGGTAGGATATTCAATAGAAGGCAATTCCACATCGGAACCATCGAGGAGCTGAACAACTTGCAGTCCTTCAACTTCTCAACTTCCATTGAATAGCTGATACTCCACCGGATCATTCAGTCAACAACATGTCTTCAATCAACAATTGTTTGTAAGCATATATTTTGTAATAACCACATTATTTTAAGATACAATTTTATAAAAGAAACGAAAACATTCTATGTTCATAAAAAAACCATTGACACCTAAAAATTCTAGCTAAATACCCACATTATTATTGAGAATTATTATTGAGAATTATTATTGAATTATTATTGAGTTATTATTGAATTATTGAATTATTAAAGGGGATCCCGAGATTATATTGAGATTATATTGAAATTATACTGTGATTATATTGAAGTTATATTGAGAATTATTATTGTGAAATTTATTGAGTTTATCTGGCCAGAGGCTCAATACGGTAGGGAAAAATATTATTTTGTTGGAGTTACTATAAAAAGAAATAATATTAAAAATTATTTAAAGAGATTATTATTGAGATTATTATTGAAGATTTATTATTGAAAGAATTTATTGAGATTATTATTGTTGAATTATTGAGATTATTATTATTGAATTTATTGAAAATATTATTGAATTATTGAGAATTAAAAGTTAATGGGTAAAGAATTTTTATGAGTAAGCATAGCAGTCCGGACTCGTCTCCATCGAAAGTAGCTAATTCGGTGTATAGGAAAAAAAGTGAAAGTGAAGGTAGTGTGGAAGATCTTGACAAAAGTTTTGTAAAAGAGGAAAATATTGATGAACACACTAAAAAATTATTAAACATAGGAACACAGAGCGAGCATCGTAGAACTCGAAGTAGTCGTAATACTGAATTTGAGGAATTAAGATTTGAAGTAAAACCTAGAAGGAAAATGAATAGCGATATAGTAACATTAAAATTGGAAGAGGCAGTTAAATTAATACCAAAAAGTACGGGAGAAGATGATGTTTATCAGTTTATTCAGGCATGTGATTTAGCTATAGAGTCCGTAGAAAAGAAAAATGTACCGATTTTAATAATATACATAACAACTAGATTAAGTGGTAGGGCTTTAGAAGCAATTAAATATAAAGATACAACTAAATGGAAAAACATAAAAAAATATTTAACCGATACATTTGAGGCACAACATTCCGCTTCAGCTTTACAAATAGAATTAAATTCTATTAAAATGCTTCAAGGGGAAGACGTGAATACTTATACAAATCGCGTAGAAAAATTATTTTATAAGTTAAGTGATATGAGCACTGCAAATAAGGATGAAAAAGAGGCTAGAATTATTCACGATACAATAAAAGAACAAACTTTAGTAGTATACATAAAAGGTTTAATAGGTCCGATACGTACCATTGTAAAAGCGAGAAATCCAAGTACGTTGGAGGAAGCTAAACAGTTAGCGCGTTCAGAAGAAATCGAATATAAATCTAGTTATGAATTTAATCAAAATCCAAATAAAAATCGAAATTTTAATAACCGAAATTATAACAATAATTCATCTAATGCAAACAATCAGAATAATTTCAGGAAATTTAATAATAATAATAATAATGTACAAAGACCAAATTTCAGAAATAATTTTAATAATCAAAATTTTAGAAGTAACACAAATCCAAATAATAATTTCGCGCGACCAAATTTTAATACTAATAATAATAATAATATAAATCAGCCGCAAAGACCGATAAAATGTTATATTTGCAACGGAAATCATTTCGCTAACCAGTGCACAAATAAACGTAACTTTACGCATAATACTCGACCACCTAATCAGAATAATTTTACACGACCATCTACTAGTTATAATATGAGGTATATTTCATGTGAATATTGTAATAACAACGGACATAATATAAATGAATGCTATAAAAAAATGTTTAACGATAGACAGAATAATATTAATAACGATGATAATAACGTAAATTCGGAAAACGCGAGCGAGTCGTGCGTGGTACGCGGTACACGTACGATAAATCATATATCGACCGCGGAACAAACCGAAACTGCTTCCATGTTATATCAATAATGACGGAAAATCATATAATATGCACTTCTGAATTTAGTAATACGAAAACTTTAGAGTTACTTATAGATACGGGTAGCGATGTAAATGTTATAAAAATAAATAAATTAAGAAAGGATTTAATAATAAATGAAAATAATAAGTTATATTTAAAAGGAATAAATGAAACAAAAATTGAAACGATAGGAACTATAAATTTAGTAATATGAATTAATAATGATAAATTTAATGTAGAATTTAATGTAGTAAAAGCAGAATTTCCGATACCAAAGGACGGTATATTAGGTCATAGGTTTTTATCTGAGAATAAAGCAATAATTGACATATGTAATAAAACAATGATTATTAATAACGAAAGTAAGATTGCGAATAAAAATTATAATATAGAATATATTTCATTAAATCCGAGAACAGAAACTATTGTAGAATTACCGATATTAGATAAAAGAGTAGAGAATAAAAATATAATTTTGCATAAACAAGAATTTATCAAGGATGTATATTGTAGTAATGTAATAGGGACAGTAAAAAATGGTAAAATTGTAGTGAGTATATTAAATATTTCCGAAGATAAGCAAATAGTTAAATTAAATGATTTAAATAAAATAGAGTATGATGAATCATCTGAATATAATATATATAAATTTAATACCGATAATGAAAACCGTAATAATAACGACCGGATACTTCGTATAAAAAAGCAGATAAGATCTGACCACATGAACGATGAGGAAAGACAATCCATAGATAAAATTTGCGAACAATATTCTGAAATATTTCATTTAGAGGGAGATAAATTAACTTGTACGAATGCCGCAATGCATGAAATTAAATTAAATGATAACCAAACACCGATATATAACGACCATACAGATTACCACACGCGCACCAAGAAGAAATAGCAAATCAAATTAAACAAATGAAATCAGACGAGTCTTGTCTATGCTGCACTGAGCACCTTCACGTCAGTGTATGTTATGGTCTGGACTTAGAAATATTTCCAATTATTTTATAAGTACAATTGTTAGGACTTAAATAATTTCTATCACTAGAATATTTACAAAATTTGTAGTTAGAATAATTTTTAAAAGTTAAATAAATTTAATTATTTTAAAAAGAAGTCTTAATTATTCCTGACTACACTTCCACACAAGCGTTGACTGAGACGTTGTAACTGAATTAACGGATCAAACGGTTGGCACGTAACAAAACTTAGAAATTGCAAAATTGTGGTACACGTAAAAATTACAATATTTTTTTCTATGTCATTTACTGCAATCATTGATTCTCCTTTATATGATAACATATTTTTTGATTGTAAAAATTCTTGAATTTCAACAATATTTTTAGAATATTTGTGTGTATGTTTCTACGCGGTTAAATTCTGTTACGAATTAATTTAACGCCACTGTAATCCAACGTGTCAAAACTATTCTTTGTAATTTCGGAACGTATAATTTTAATCGGGCGATCAGTCATGTCTTTGGCTCTTTTTTTACACGCACTTCGAATAATTTGACAATTTAATTTTTTATCATTCGTATTATGGTTATGATTTAAATTGCTACTCACAGTTACATTTCCATCTTTAATTAGTCTTGCTAAACATTGTATCATTGTACAACGTCAAGTTATATTACCAGATATACTTTCATACATTTTTCTGAATTTAAAATTGTTGATAATAAGTAAATCCTTAAAATTGTTACTTGCACTTTTTGCAAATATAATTTTATTTTCTGTCATTTTTGAAACAAAATTACATCAAACAGAAATGTCTAATTAAGTGAAGTGCGGTAACGACTAACTTGCGGTTGGGATTTCAGAAATACCTTCGTAAAATACCGTATATCGACTATCAAGGTGTAATACAAATTATCTGCAACAAAGATAAAAAGTTATATATGATTAAAGATAATAAGGTATATCGAGTTACGACTGATATAGAAATTAAATTACGCAATGTTGCACAGTGGTTCAAAAATAAAAATAGTTGGGAAAACGTTGTTGCCAAATTTATTGATTTGTAACGTTGATGGGCGCAAACAAGTATTTTAACGTATTTTAATTTTATTAAGCGCAATCGAGGTTTTTGCATATTGGCGCAAATACGGTATTTAGGCGTTAACACAGTCCACCCGGGTAGTAGATATCACTGAGCCGGTTGTATTTTTTTTCTTTTTCAATTATTAGTGTTATTACTTATTTAGTTGTACACTTGTAGTCAGTACTCAGTATTCGCCAGTTCGCCACTCGATCTTGGTTTTATTTTACATAATATTTAATTATTAAATTTATTATTACTACTAACAAATAAGTATAAACGTAATAATTACCATCAACTATAATTTATTAGCTTATTTAATTTTTTAATTATTACTACGAATATTAATGTTTCAAAAATGGATAGATTTGTTGCAAATCATCAAACAAATACAAGAAATCGCAAAGAAACGGAAGATGAGGACGACCCTCTCAATGAAGATTCAAGTTTGTGTGATGCACCAAAATTTAAATATTTGTTTGGTGAATTTTATAAACTAGTATCCATAGATGGTCTATAATTAATAGCTTTGTGTCAAAGTTGCTCTAAAATTATAAATGGCTCTACATCATCAAGTGGAAATTTGTTGAGCCATATTATAGTAAGTTTTTAATTTATTATTATTTTTATAATATATATATAATATTTAATGTTTTGTACATACCTAATGGCATTGATTAGAAACATAATATTATAATATACCTAATATAATAAATATATTATTATAATTATAAATTATAATACTATTTATTATCAATGCTAATGGGTATCTATTCTGTATGAAATAAACTAAAATCAAATGAGATGTTAATGACATAATATGTATTAAAAATCTATGTATGGATGTAGAGTTATAAATTGTTACCTCCTATGGATCATAACTGTTCAAAATAATAAAGAAAAGTTTTTAATAAAGTTTTTGAAAGTCATTTAAATCTTTTAAGTTCATTTATAAATTAATATAGTATGTTGGTACAATGGTATCTAATTAATTTAGTGCAGATAGAATTTTCGATTATTCTTTTATGTTTTTTGAGATAGATTTAAACAATTTTGTCTCAACATGGACCTCTTGCTAGTAGTAAAAATTAAACGTCAATAACTCTAAGCCCAATACGATAGTTATTTGTGTTCTGTTAATCATTATTTTTAAAATCAATACAAATAAAAATAAAACTGTTTTGTGATTAAGACTTTTGAATTAGTAATACATTTTTATTAAACAATAAATGTATACCTAAATAGTTATTAAAAACTAGCTGACCTGACAAACGTTGTTTTGTCATATAAATTATTTCTTGAGAATATTTTGCTAAAAAAAAATTACTAATTTAATATAAGTGTGTAAGGATGTGGTACATAAGTAAAAGAGGTATGGAGTGCTGTTAACGGTGACGAAATATAAAAATGAAAAAACATCAAATATTTATTTTTTTAATAATTTATTAAAATGTATCGTTTAAAATTATATATATATATATCGCTAATTATGACAATATTAGTAAAAAAAGAATATTAATCCCTTAATGCCACAGAATGTACAATATTTTTTGTTATCCAATCTTTCGACAACACAAACTGGATGGTTCGAGAGCACGCCACGTATAATTGTCCATGTGAAAAACATGATATGCTCAAATCTAAGCCACATACAGACATCGTTTGGTCTTGAGATTTATTTATAGTCATTACAAATGCCAATTTAATTGGAAATTGAAGGCGTTTAAATTGTATTAGCACATCTGTGGGTATAATAAGGATTCACGGTAATAATATATTTTCACCTCAGAATGTGCCATTTAAAATGATAAATTCAATAACATTTTTGTTGCCTTTAAGTGAAATCGGCTCTCTTATATATGATACATCTACCACATCTACTAGCTATGAAATGTGTACGATAAATATCTAATGGAAATTGTCTTTTCCTAATCACTTTCGGTTGAAAGAGAACTCATATATATCTAATAACAACAAGGTGTTATAGAAATGTCAAGTTTTTATAATATTACTATTACAGGTAAATAACGTAGAGATTAGGAATAGTTTTAATCGTTCTATTTACCATATCTTTTAAATCGTTATAACCGTTAATAGCTGTTATGATATGTTATAAACATTATGCATTGCATTGCGCGATGATCGGGCTAAGTACTGCGGCGGCGACAGCGGCATAAACGTGCGTACATGCGGATGTGACATGTATAGCTAATCAATACGCCCGTAGGGTATAAGTTAATCACATTTATGATTTTTTCAAAACAAAATCGTTTAACTTTCTAAAATCACACATACACGTAGTGACTCATTAATGGCAAAGTTAATTGCATTCCATTGCGCGATGATCGGACTAAGTACTGCGGCGGTGGCGGCGGCGGCATAAAAGTGCGTGCATGCGGATGTGACACACGGCGGTCGGGCTATCAATGACGATAATAATAATAATAATTATAATAATAATAATATTGATAAGACGTAGAGATATCGTGGACGGTCAAAGTCCCCGATCGTACATCACAGGCGTGGCATGGAGCGGTGGGGATGATATCAGGGGGAGGGGGATGAAGTAGATTAGACGGGGGAGAACGTACGGGGTCAGGTTAGATCACGGTAGGTTTTCACGGCGTCACGTGAGATGGAGTGGGTTTATATGTTGCGGGAGGAAGGTTAGACTAAGGTGGGTTAACTAACGAGGCGGCGGCGGCGGCGAAATATACACAGGTCACGTGATCGACATGTGAAAAGTATTGCCGGACCACGATGGGGAGGGATGGGTGTGATGAGGGGGATGCACATAGGTTACGTACACGAGATGTATGAATGTGATAGGGTAGCGGAGTAAGTGGTGGGGGCGGATATACGGAGAGGGGGTACGATAGGGATGATTTAAGGGAGTGGGAGTAGTCGGGGGAGTACGTGAAAGAGAAGGGAGTGGGAGGTGCCGAGGGAGTACGTGGAGGAGAGGGGAGTGGGAGGAGCCGAGGGAGTATGTGGAGGAGAGAGGAGTTGGAGGAGTCGGAGGAGTACGTGGAGGGGAGATAGAGGGGAAATATTGGAGGGGGAAATATAGGAGGGGGAATTATAAGAATGGGAAATATAGGGGTGGAAATATAGAAGGGGGAATATAGGAGGGTATGTGGAGGGGATAGGATGGGGGGGGGTTGGAATCCGTGGGATTTGCGGGGGATACAGAACCTACCAAAACATACTACTCACATACAACACACCAACACTATAAGACATGGTTCACTATCAGAGCATAATCAGTGCATTTTCCGTTTCCATATTTTCGTCTTGCGATCGGCGTTCGTGATTGTTGTGTTTTGTCCATATTATAGAATAAAGATAACCTGACCCACATTATTCAATGGTATTCACGTGGTATCAAAAATATTATAGTCACCAGTCGCCCATCATCCAGCATTTTATTATTATTATTATTATTATTATATTAATTAATAATAGTGCACCACGTAGCCATTAATTACAATTTTCGTCTCGCATTCGGCGTGAGTCTACTCAGTCTAAGTATGTAGTTGAAAGTAGTAATAGTACTATTATCGAACCGTGCAGTATTAACACAGTACAAGAAATAGTAAAAAAAAATAGTAAAAAGAAAAAAGCCAAAATCGAAACAGTTATTTCCATTTTATGGAAATATTGAAAAATGTTCTAATTGATTGGTAAATTAAAAATGCTTCTGGTTAAAGGTAGGTATATTGTCAATAGAGTAATAAAATGGATATTTAAAAAAATATAAAAAATATTACGTATAATAATATATACTAGTATATTATTAAATATGATAATTTATAAAAACTAATGATATCCCAACAAAAACACTCCGTGAACTCCAAGTAAAAAAACGCTAAGTAAAAAAAAAAGCTATAAAATGTGTAATATAAGGTGGAATCTAAGTAAATGGTCTAACGTGTAAAATGTACATATCAGTAATTAATTCAAAATTAATAACATTTGGTTATTTGTATTATCAATTTATAATATGATTTATTTTAACTAAATTTAATTTACTTGGCCGGAAACAATTTCGTTTATTTTAATGAGGCCTACATTATCTATTACATAAACTTAGTACTTGGCTATACATTTTTTAGATTGAATCTTCCGGCCAAGTAAACTAAATTTAGATAAATTTTAGTTAAAATAAATCATATTATAAATTAATAATACAAATAAACAAATTTTATTCATTTTGAATTAATTACTGATATGTACATTTTACACGTTAGACCATTTATTTAGATTCCACCTTATATAACACATTTTATAGCTTTTTTTTTTGTTTTTTTACTTAGCGTTTTTTTACACGGAGTTCAGGGAGTGTTTTTGTTGGGATTTAATAAAAAATGTTATTGAATTTATCATTTTAAATGGCACATTCTGAGGTGAAAATATATTATTACCGTGAATCCTTATTATACCCACAGATGTGCTAATACAATTTAAACGCCTTCAATTTCCAATTAAATTGGCATTTGTAATGACTATAAATAAATCTCAAGACCAAACGATGTCTGTATGTGGCTTAGATTTGAGCAGTATAGGTCGCTGTAGTCGCCGAGGGTAGCGCAGTTGAAATGGTTCCACACCTCAGTCGCGTGCACGTAGTCCTCATCACTAACGTGCCTCTCGTTCAACACGCTGTAGAACTCACGTTTCGGTGGCATGACGGTCTCCCGAGTCTCGACCATTTGTCGGAATACTCGTACGGAAACACACCCTTTCGCGTGACTAGAGGCATGTCGGCGGGCTGGAACTCTTTGGCGGTCTCCCGGAACTTATCAAAGTCACCGGGCTTCGTAAGGAGGTTCCCGGCCAACTCGGCAAGGCTCGAGGCCATAAATCGATACGAATCCAAGAACCTCACGCTAAAATCGGATGTGACGCGTTTAGAGAACGAGATATAGTTCTCAGTGTTGGGGATCACCGTTATCGACTCCTTATCGTAACCGAGTTCGGTTACGATAAAGTGCGCGTCATATTTCGACAGGTTGTGAAGGAAGCACGGTACAAACTTGGGTGTGACGAGTTTGAGGTTGCACGGCGCGCAGAGCGTATGCCTCAACCGTCCCGACAGATGGCAGTGGTCGGCGACTTTGCACACGGCCTCGGTGAACGCTAACTTACACATATCGCACACACTTTTCGCGTTATGCACGCAGTCGCCTTCAGTAGGCCACCCAACCTGGCAGCGAGCGCGGTCACCGTATCTGGGCGCATAGGCGCCGACTTTTATATTTTAACACGGGGGCAAATAAAATATTTATACTATTGTTCATGAATATTGTTCCAATTCTCTTTATTGGGTTCAGATAAATGAAAATAAAAATAAAAATTACATGAAATTATGAAAATACGATTTATTTTCTAACTTAATTACAATACATTACATTTTATGATGACAATTTTACAATCTAAAATTATATTTTTTTCAATTTAAAAGTATTTCTTCTTGTCATGCACTTATTTATGAACATATTTCCTATTTTGCTTAGGTCTAAAGATTCTGCTACTGTGTTATGGCAATTTAGAAGTGCCAGATCATTTAACCTGGTCTGCGTCATGGTACTTCTGGTATAAGTTTTTAACCTCCTCAACATAGAAAAATATCGTTCGGTAGTACATGTAGTAACTGGTACTGTTAATATCAATTGTATGCATTTCCTGAGCTCTGTTAAATGAATGACTAAATACGATTTATTTTTAAAAATATTTAATATATCTGCGAAGGATGAAACAATTAATCCTTGGCCTTTAATTATACCATGAAACATATCTCTATGAAGTTTTAGCTTATCAATATTTATATCATCCTTGTAAAATGTACATATTATTTCGGGTGATATTTTTGGATCAATTAAAAACATTTCCACATTACATAAAAATGATCGAATTTCAGAGTTAAATCTTAGTTGTAAGCCAGAAAGTATATGATCAATGATTTCTTTATGTATTTGATTATATTTACTTTCAGGTGAAAATTCAAAGGACTTTGTTACTCCGTCTTCATATTTTTGAGGTTTTTTTCGTTTTCTAGATTCCTTTGGTGCATCTAATTTTAAATCTGACCATTCTTTCTTTGCAGATTTCCATAAAATGTGAAATGTATCTCTCAAATTTGAAATAGTATCTTCTAAAGTATTGAATTTGAACAGAAAGTTTAAAATCTAATGATTTACTTTGCAATACTGTATTTGTAGTCTCCATGTGTTTAAAAATACTTATCACTATTTTAAGCATTATATAAGTATCTGCAGTTTTTAATTGTTTGAAAAATCCATTTGCCTTTGAACCTGCATCATTGTGTTCAGTTTTTGAAAAATCTGACAAAAATGTCAATAGCTCATTGTAGTTATCCATAACAGAGCACAGAGAAGTATATCGTAACGTCCATCTAGTAGGACAAAATGGTCTTAGAGATGTCATATTTTCGTCTTTTTGATTCGTTTTAAACCAAGATAGTCTCTTAGGTGATTGTTTAATAAATGTAATTAATTCTCTTATAAAATTTAGTACATCTCTAGCATTTTTTACATTTCGCATACTATCTTGGGTAACAAGATTTAAAGAATGAGCTTGACAGTGAACAAACTATGCTCTTGGTTCAATTTCTTTTATTCTAGCTTGTAATCCTTTATGAATTCCAGAAACATTGCTAGCACCATCAAAACATTGTCCTCTAATATTATAAAAATCTAATTCCAATCTACACAAAATATCTTTCATAATTTTGAAAAGAGTATCAGAATCTGTTTTAGGCGTTTCGTAAAAACCCATAAAATATTCTTCGATTTCCAACGATTCTTTGTCCACTGTTCTTAAACAAAACGAAATTTGTTCTTTGACAGTAATATCACTAGTTTCGTCTAATAAAATGGCATAAAATGTGTTTTCTTTAATTTGTTTGATAATATTTCTAATGACTTCTAATGACAGCATGCTAAGAATTTCATTAATTATATCGTGAGAAATCCACTTATATTTTGTTCTACCTAACCAGTTATTTAATTCAGTCGAATCTTCCGATCGAAGTTTTAATAACTGATTTAAATTTGCAGATTCGTCTGTATGCCCTCATAATGCTAAGCCTTGTTTTGCCAAAAAAAATACTGAAGATATTATTTTATCAAGAGCTAATCTAGATTCTTCCATAGACTTTTTATGACTATCCGATATTTGTGCATATATATTTGCATTTGTTTTAATAAAAGAGTTTTTAACTACATTAGTTTTGTGCAATTCTGAATTTTCGTACATATTAAACCTTTCAACAGCTTTTTTTCAGTTACTAAAACCCTCGGAAATAAATACAGAAACATTATTATTACTATTATTACTCATGGATCTACACAATTTGCAAAAAGCTTTATCATCGATTTTATTATGTTCTAACCAGTCGTATTTATTTAACCAAGATGCTAAAAATTTTCTTTGTTTTGAAACATCTTTAGAGGACGAATTATTTCCACAATCAATTTGATTATCACAATTTAAATTTATGTTAGAAGTGGAAGTAGATGAAGATAAACTATTATCAGAATTAATAAGGCTATTAGAATCAGAATTGTTTTTCGGAATAGTTTTTTTTTGTACATACTTCCACATAGACATAATGAATTATTTTGTGTCTGAATTACTTATTTGGTATGCCCTTCAAAAGTTAAATAATTTTTAACTCATATATTAAATAATATGGTCTATAAAGAAAATATAAATTACCTTAGTGTTGTCAATCTGCGAATAAAGCACGTATGCTTCGTATGGACAGCGACAGTAAAATGATCAACTACTGAATTACATAATGTAATACTCAGTATTCAGTAATCAGTACTGTATAAATGTAGAATAGTAAATATAATTTAGAAGAAATGAAAATACCATAGTACAGGTTATAAATAATTCCAACTAAAGATATTGTTATTAAGTTTCAGTTTGTGCGTGTGTATAAAGTATATATATAGTTATCACACAAGTCTTTCGTCATTACCGTGACTATTAGGCATTTCTAATTGGAGCTATATACATTATTCATATATATATAAATGTACTTATACGTTATCTATAATTTGTGGTATCTTATGAGTTATGTTCAGCTATTTTTAGATAATTTGTCCTTTTGATAAACATTTTCATATCGATATCGAAATTCAATAGCTTATAATAATAAGTAATAACCAAATAATTTTTTTCACAAAAGCGAAGTGCTATTTCTACGTTTTACCACCCATTAAAATCGAAGAACGGGAGCAACGCCCACGTTAAAATTAAAGTACAGGGGCAATTGCCCCCGTTGCCCCCGTGTAGTCGGCGCCTATGTCTGGGCGGCGGGTGCGTGATTAAATACAACTACGAGAGGCATCAGAAATATAATACGGAAAACTGCGGACGTCTGTGTTTGGAATTTTTAACATGTGCACGTTAACATTGACCAGTGATTCGAGCGAGTTGACGTGCGATATTTTCCCACCGATAGAAGTTAAACGTGACTCGCAATTGTGCTTGTTGAGCTTGCACACGAACAATTCCATACCGAATATCGAGTCTACGTGTAATACCGTGCAATTCAAGTCTGCATCGGGTGCTATCCATACCGTGGTCATACCCGTAGGCACATACGAGTTGGACAGTTTAGAGAGTTATATAAAGAAAAAAATTCCTGAAACGGTTGCATTCGTATTGAAATCGGACAACAATACGTTAAAATGTTTGATCAAGTCAAATAATATTGAAATGGCTCTCAAATTTAATTTCGGTATAAAGAACGGTGTTGTCGAGGGGAAAAATAGTAATAAAGTCGCGCCCGCCAAGGCAACACGTAGGGTGAAGCAGAAGAAGAAGAAGAAAACAGGTGGAAAAAAATCAACTCTAACGAAAAATAATCAAGCGTTACTACGTTCGTTGAAATGATTGCGATAATGGGCGATACGTATTTAGCGGTGACCGAGGGCTACGTGGACGAGTGTAAAATCATCCAAAAGCAGTACCAATCTTTCCTACCGTATTCAACGACTGCCATGTCTAGCAATGATGAGGTTAGAATATCTATTCAAAATATGGATGCATATACGTTGCCGTGCGAGAGTTATATTTTCATCGAAGGGAAAATCAATAAACTTAGTGACGTCACGATAGACTACTGTTTTACAAATAACGGATTAGCGTTTTTGTTTTCCGAGATGAGATACGAATTGAACGGCGTGGAAATACAAAAATTGAAATATCCAGGAATAACAACGTGTCTGAAAGGATACTGAAGCAAAATCCATATTGTGATTATTGTTAATAAACAGACATATAATAATAAAGATATGATAATTTGACATAAACATTTAACAAACGATAATTTATATCAAATATGCCGGTTACTATTACGAATAGACATAGCTTATTGGTCTTTGCTGTTACTCTTACTATATTTATTTATTATTCATTTTTTTTGTGTATCGTGATGACTGATGAGTAGTGTCTAGTGAGTAGCGAATAGTGGGTACGCATTTCAAATTATATAAACATGAGTGTTAAACGGAAAAATGTATTTTCAATATTTAATATGAAAAAAAAATGCCAAGAAGTCTATTCAGATGCGCCAGTAAGTATAAATATAAAATTGTATGGACCAACTTAAATAATATGTTCTTCTTCATTATGAATTCCCTATAAAAAATTTTTATGTTAAAAATTTGAAAATTAAGTACAGAGTAATTTCATATATCTGATATCACTATAAAATCATGAGAATAACTATTTTTTTTTTATACTTATATAGATTAAGATTGATAAAGCTGAAAATGAGGAACTAACTATACCACCAACAACATCAATTACCATTAAATCTATTGAGCCTGATTCTATTTCTAAAGAAACTGATCCTAATGAAAATATTAATGAAACGGTAAAAATAGTGTAGTTTTTAATTTAGATTAAAGCCATGTCATAAGTGTAAAGTGTAGAATTAGTATTAGTATATAATTATTATTATTTTATCTTATATTTATATATATTGACAGTTTTATAATCAATCTTATATTCAGATTCATAAATTTGCTTGTATGTTTGTTATTTATTAATTTTCAATTAATAGGTTGTTGATGCATCTGCATGGCCCATTAATGATATTGCTAATTTTATTAGAAAACAGCAACTAAATGCTAAAGAAATATATAATTGCTTGACGCTTGAATGGAAACCTTCTGCTAACTATGTTTTTCCTGAATGTATTGAAGGGAAACAAAAAAGGAGATTTCTACACAAATATCTGACAATTTTCCCATGGCTAGCTTATAGTAAATACAAAGAAGGTGCTTATTGTAAATATTGTATAGTTTTTGCGTTTTCTGGAGGTGGTGTTGGCCATCAAGTAATTATTTTCTGCTTAAACTTATACCACCATAATATGAATATTATAGTTTATAAACTTTATAATTTGTTTTTATAGAAACTCGGAAAAATTAGTTAAGTATCCTATGGTGAAGTATAAAGATGCATTGGAGGAATTACAAAATCCTCAGAAGAATGACTACCATTGTTTGTCCACACAAAGTGCCAATGACTTTTTAATTAATTTTGAAAATACAAATAATAAATCAGTAAATGTGCTTTTAGATAAACATAAACAACAAACAATTTAATACAACCGTAAGAGATTGATGCCAATAGTTAAAACTATATTGTTTTGTGCTCGACATAATATTCCATTACGTGGACACCGGGAAATGGGTTCCGTGGCATCAGATGATGTCAGAGACATTTGTTTAAATGGTGAGCAAGGAGTGTTTCGTGGTCTTCTTTCTTTTAGAATTGAATGTGGTGATATTGATTTATTGAATCATTTGGAAACAGCATCTAAAAACTGTACAATGATAAGTCCTCAGATTCAAAATGAAGTAATTGAAGCTATTGGCAGTGCAATTGAAAAAAAAATTGTTGAAAGAATTAAATCTTCAAAGTTTTATTCTATTTTGTGTGACGAAACCACCGATATAAGTACAGAAGAACAAATGACCGTATGTATTCGATATGTAGATTTAACAAATTGTGTCATTCAAGAGGACTTTTTGGGTTTTGTCAAAATGACTTCTACTACGGGAGCTTCAATCAAAAACGCTATTAAACAAAAGTTACAAGAACTAGGTCTTAGCTTAGATAATCTCAGAGGTAAAGGCTATGATGGTGGATCGAACATGGCAGGCAAAAACAATGGTGTTCAGGCTCTACTTTTAAATGAACAGCCATTAGCATTTTATACACATTGTTTCAGTCATTCACTTAATTTATGTATAAGTAAAGCGTGCGAAGTGTCTTCAATAAAACAAATGATGGGAATTATTGGTGCTGTTGCATCTTTTTTCCCTGCTTCTGCAAAAAGAGCAGACAAATTAAAATCTATTATAGAATCAGAAATTCCAAATACAGAATCCAACAAACAGAGAAAGACTAAACTTAAAACATTGTGCGAGGCGCGTTGGGTTGAACGCCATGACTCCTTGATGACATTTAAAGAATTGTATATTTTTATACTTAATGCACTTGAAGAACTACAACATGATACAAACACTGAAACCTCAAGTAAAGCATTACTGTACTTAATTTCTATAACTAAAAGTGAATTTCTAGTGGCTATTGATGTTGCGGTGCTTTGCCTTGCTTATACATTACAACTTAGTGTTGCTTTATAATCTATGCAACTAGACTTATCAAGAGCATTATCCGATGTCATGATAATAAAAGGGGCATTACAGAATCTACGGGAAGATGCAGACAATCAATTTAGCATAGTTTTTAACAACATTATAGAATTAGGAGAAAAAATTAATGTTAAAATATGTATGCCTCGAATTTGTAACAGACAAATAAATAGAGTAAATATTGATTCTGAAAACGCTGAAATATATTTCAAACGATCAATATTTCTTCCTTTTCTTGATTATCTCATTCAATCAATGGATACACGGTTTGATAATAGACTATCTAGTATTATCCCTCTCGAAGGTTTGATTCCAAGTCATTTTGATTAGTATGACGAGGGAACTATTTTAGAAGCTGCCAAAATATATAGCAATGATTTATCTAACTATATAAGCTCTACATTCAAGGCTGAGTTATCTTTATGGAGGCAACAATGGAAAACTAACAACATACCAAAGCCAGTCTCAGCCATTGAATCAATGTCCCATTGTACTAACTTTGTACCTAATATTAAATTATTGTTACAGTTGTTTGCAACCTTGCCTGTAACTTCTGCAACTCCAGAAAGAACATTTTCCACCTTGTCAAGAATGAAAACATACCTAAGATCAACAATGATGGAGAAAAGGTTAAATGGTTTAGCAATGGCAAATATAAATAAAAAAAGGACTTGTAAAGGAAACAGATGTCATTCAAGTTTTTGCTCAAAACGCCCCAAGAAGGATGCAGTTAAAAGATTGGAGCCATCATAAATAAATAAAAATGTTTTACAATATATAAATTTTTTTGTTGCTTAATTTATTATAAACATTTTAAAAAGTGTAAATAAAAGAAATATTGTACTTGTATTTTTTGAATTTTTTTGTGAGACTTAGCCCCCCCCCCCCCCCCCATACAGAATTCCTGGCTACGCCACTGATCATCTGTCATACATCAAACTAATTGTGGGCAAAATCTTGGTACTTTTTATAGAAAAGATGATTTAAGCAGTTGTGACAGCTCTGACAATGAAATGTACAGTGAAAATTCAGCTATAGAAATAATTAATGTTGGATCAATTTTTTTAAACATGCCAAATATTGAAAAAGAAAATTCAGATAAGTTGTGTTTACCAAAACATATTACATGGTGTACACATACATTATATTTGATTTCAACATGTGATGTTTCCAAAATTGTAGATACCAACTATGTTAAAATTTCAAAATCTATAATTAGTAAACTGTTCTATTTTTTTAATCTAGTTAGCAGAAGCACAATGGCCTCAGATAAAGTGTTTGAAACTTGTGGATGTAAGTTCCCTGTTCCTGTAATAACTCGATGAAATTCTTTATTTGATGCTACTGAAAAAGTCTGAAGTCACAAAGATAAATTAATTTTAACGTTTAATGATCTAAATTTGACCAAGTTAAAAGTTAAGGAATGAGTATTTTTAGTAGAGTTTTGCAAAACAATGAAACCTTTAGCAATGTCTTTGGATAGATTGCAAAATGAAAACAATGGCTATTTGGGTTATATTGCGTCAACCATTTTTATACTAAGACGTTCATTAATTCAGTCATTATCAGATTTTAAATATTTTAAACCTCTTACTTCTGCGATAATTTCTGGTTTAGAAAAAAGGTTTCCTTATATATTTGACTTATCTATGTCCAACAATAAAGATTATATTATAGGATCTACTAGTAATCCGAAATTTAAACTAGATTGGGTGCCACTAAAATATAAAGAATTATGTAGAAAACTATTTTTAGATGAGTGTGTTATTTTATTTAAGTAAATCAAATCTGACTTATGATAATGATGAGGAAGAAAGTGATAAGAGCGATGAAGACTTATTGTTGTTTACGCGAAGAAAATAATACGTCAATATTTAATAACATTTCGGAAACATCATTTTTACTTTTTTGGAGACTTACTTTTTTGTTATTCTTCTTTATAAGTTCTCTTTTGTACATGGATTTCTTGCATCCCCTGAACACAAAGTTTGGCTACATCTATGGGTATGCGATAAAATGTAATTTATTCGATTAATAGAATATATTAATTATTATATTATGGTAAGTATATCAACAGATTCCACGCATGGTTAATTTCTGGTAATCGTATGCTAAAATCTGTGAATATGTTTTCTTTTGCAATTACTAAACTAGCCTATTTAAGAATTGGAAGCATAAAAAACGACAGATTGTGATAGAAATGTTCTGTCTTGTTAATCTTTGATTACGCATGCAGGTTTTAAAAATTAGCAAATTTTTATTTCATCGTAAAGGTTGTCGACAGTTAAAAAACAATTGTGAACACTGCAATTTGGAAGGTAGTCAAAAACATAATGAGATAAAAATGTATTCCGTTGCTTTCTTTGAAAAATCATCATTAATATGTAATTTAGATAAACCAGCTGTTATAAAACTTTGTTGGAAAGTATTGGACCTACCTTGCATAATTACACTTAAACAAACGGAAGTAGACGGATATGGAATCGCTTTGAAGTTACTTATCGCCGATATATTTAAATAGACTACTGTTAAACATTCACTTTTCAATTAAATTTATTAACACTTACAATGCTTATACTTAAAGATGCTTACGCACGTTTACCGTCATCTGAACGACGAGGAATTATTAATACTTCCGAGGAGCAGATGAAAACTTACAAAGTTTCTTGTAGCACAGAATCCTCATCAAAAGAAATCGAGAAATTCAATGAAAAAGTTGTGCTGCTCCTACATAAAGAGGTCGATTATCGAATCTCACGGTAACTACATTTACTTAGAATCTCCATTTCAATTCGTTAATTGCTCGCGCGATCCAAATAAAAATTAACTCAAAGGTACACTATTTCGCGGTGAAGTGAATGGAACGTGACGATGAGAACTCAATGCTGAATTCGCTGACCATATTCCTTTGTATTCCGATAGTTATTATATCTGATTATCGAATTGAATATTACAACTTTTTCATGGAAAATTAACGTTCTAAGAAATTATAGTGAAGGATAAAAGTTATTTGTGTCTCATTTGTTAGTCCAAACGAAAACGGTAAATCCAACGCAATATCAAAATTGTCGAGGAAAAAATGTAATATTTCTCCACAGTAAATCATATTATTAAATAAATTAATTTTTATAAAACAATAAAAATGTATAATGTATAAATTATTCTATATTGATAGGTACAATGGAAGTTTATCAAAATATTTATTGGAAAAAATGCAAAATGAATATTAAATTATGTAATTAAATATTTTAATTGAAATTAATTGAATAGTATTATTAATAAATTAAATATAATGAAATTAATAAATGAATAAAAATAGTTCTATTAATTGAATAGTACAGAAAGGGTTTACAAAATAAATCAACATTTGACCAATATTCAATACATTAAATAATTAACATATCTATATACACTTACTTAGTACAGATTAAAAAAAATTGTTTATATAAAAATATATATTTACTATTTAATGAGTCAACGAACAATAATGTTTGTATTAAGACATTAATTTATAAATACAATCAATAAAAAAATAATATTTATTTTTATTTATTTAATTTTATTTTAAAATTGTACAATCTGTAAATATTACTTTTACAATAAGCACAAATGATATTTATGTAGATAACACAATCATATTAAATTAATTAGACAATTCAATATATATTGCATCAAGGCAGTTTATGTTTTGAGAGAAGGATCCATCCATTGATGGAACTTCATGGCGGGTATGGAGTTTGGGGTTTAGTCTTCTAAAAGGTCACGACACCATTTTCGCTTTAGGCGCCTTCTGGGGTCACCAGGAATTATGCGAGTTGACAAGTCGGATATGAGAGGGTTTCGGTGGTTGGAGAAATTGGAGTGGAGGCGTTTATAGAATATTTTGGCTACGTTTTGGATGGTTGGAATATTTAGATCTCTATGGAGAGTGTCATTAGAAACATAAAAAGGAGCTTTAGCTATTTGGCGGAGGCATTTTGACTGAAACGTTTGGATTTTATTGGTGTTAGAGGGTTTAGATGTTCGCCAAAGCTGTATACCGTAAGTCCATATCGGTTTAAGCAGGAGTTTGTATATAAGTAGTTTATTTTTAACATTAACGTATTTAGACGTGAGAAGAGGACGGAGTTGGTGAAAACGATTATTTAGGGTGCGGCATTTGGTTTGGTTTAAAAAAATAATATAAAATGATTTCATGCGTTTATAACAAGTCGAGTATCATAAAATTTTTAAATTACATACTTAATTTTATATTAAACTTGAAAAGCTATATTTAAAATTAGAAAAGGTAAAATATATGAATGTCATGCAGCGTACATTATACAGCTTATAGTAAAATATAATAAAAGGGAGGTAGCGGAGGGCAACCGCTACCACTGACCATTGGCGAGTCTTGCAGCAAAACTAACGGCAATCGAAGGAATTTACGATGACAGCTTAAAGTTATTTCAAGTACTGGCTTATCAACTTCGATATGGAAGGAGAGGAAACCCATCACATTATAATTCTTTAAAAAGCAATATGAATCAAGTAGAAGAAGGTTTAAAAGTTACAGCAGCAGATATACTCGTAAATGTCATTGCCGATAGGGAAAATTTCATGGCTTCTCAGGTCGTCAGTAAGCAAAATCCATTGAAAAATATCAGGACATAGAACGTTAGGTCTATGCTTAATACTAGCAAAATAGAGAATATTAAATTAAAAATGAAAAGATTGGTCATAAACATACAAGGGGTGAGCAAAGTTAAATGGTTAGGTAATGGTGATTTCTGGTCAGACTACCAGATCATCTATTCTGGTGATGAAAAACCAGGAGGGCTGATGTTTATTGTCTTTATGTTATGATGTATTTGTGATAGAATTTTTTTGAGTTGAAGAAACATATACAAGTTTTATAGTACGTAGACGTATATTAATAAAAAAAAAAAAAAAATGTATCAATAAAATTAGTATGACTTTCAAATTTTTCTACTTTAAAATATGGAACTGCATCATTCAAAAAATTAATAGG